ATCATCATCATCATCATCATCAGCCTGGCTACGTCCACTGCAGGACAAAGGCCTCTCCCATGATCCGCCAGTTAACTCGTTCCTGTGCTTGTTGCTGCCAATTTATACCCACAACTTCTTAATTTCATCTACCTACCTAACGTTCTGTCTGCCTTTTAACCCGCTTGCCTTCTCTGGGAATCCAGTTAGTTACCCTTGATGACCAGCGGTTATTCGGTCTACGCGTTACATGCCCGGCCCATGTCCATTTCCTCTTCTTGATTTCAACTATGATATCCTTAACCCCGTTTGTTCCCTAATCCACTCTGCTCTCTTCTTGTCTCTTAAGGTTACACCTACCATTTTTCTCTCCATTGCTCGCTGCGTCGTCCTCAATTCAAGCTGAACCCTCTTTGTAAGTCTCCAGGTTTCTGCTCCTTAGCTAAGTACCGGCAAGATACAGCTGTTATATACCTTCCTCTTGAGGGATAGTGGCAATCTACTTGTCATAATTTGAGAGTGCTTGCCGATGTGCTCTACCCCAATCTTATTCTTCTAGTTACTCCAATCTCGCGGTTCCGCTCCGCCGTTATCACCTGCCCTAAGTTGACATAGTCTTTTACAACTTGAAGTGCACTATTACCTATTCTGCTTATTTAGTGGCCCGTATATGATCCGTACCCAGTGCTACTGAATGATATTGTCCTCCTTGTATTCAATTGCATGCATTTTCGATGGTGCAACACACGAATGGGCACGCACTCTGTGACCAAAGCTAGCTCGTCATTTAGTAGCTATGAGTGACCCACCCAATTGTGATCAACATCCTATTATTCTTATCAATGCTAATTAAAACAAAATGTGCGCATTGCCATGACATAGACAACTTCTATTAGAAACGGGGAAATGAGAGGACAGAGAGTCGCTCGCTGGATTTCGTGCCCACCGGTTGTGCCCCCGCGATCTCCGACGACAGCGCAGCTCTGGCCAACTGGGCTCCGCGCTACGCCATCTCCTGACGCCGACAAGAGCTCTCGCCGAGTTGTGCCCCGTCCTCGGACTCCTGCGTCATGTTCATTTTTTCTTATCTCCTCTTTACTTCCATCGTTTTCAGTCGTTCGCTGTCCCTGCGCCTCTTCTCTCCTTCCTCTCTCTTTATCTCTTTACCTTTAATCCTATCCTTCAATCCATACTTTAACCCCCGGCCCCCCTTCATGAGCTACTATTGAGGTGTCTTCCCCCCAAGAGACAGTTACGGGGCTCACTTTTCTCTTCCTTCCCTTTAATAATCAATAAGAAAAGAAGGAGAGGCTTGCGAAGTGTTATAGGAAACATCAATGGTCATTGATTGACCAAGCAAACGTGTTCCAACTAGGTGTACGTTTACGCCTGAAAGCTTTGCAATCTTGCAGTAAAGTAATGGAGGGCTTGCTGATTTTGAGAGAAACACTTCTTACAATTTACTATAAAAGAACTTGTTGAAAGTGAGCACTGCACGTGTTTGGTGCCTGGTTGTGCGGGTGCGTTTCTGTGAATGTGTCGTTTGGTTGTGCTCATATAATATTTTTGGAACCGCTCTTCAGACCATGAAGTGGCCACGTGCATCTTCAATAATATTCAAACAATTTTTCTTTCAGCTTTTGTGGTGAGAACACCTGCCTTTGCATGGTTGGAACAACAGACTACGCTAACAAGAAGTTACTCACCGATGCCGTAAGTGAACGTGCAGTAGTCGTACTTCTCTTATTCTTTATTGTTTCTGTCACCGATGATTTACTCGTGCATTTATGTTGCTTGTTGTCGTTCTAGATGTATTTATGCTTGCGTTGTTGCTGGTGTTGTTGCTGTTATAGCTTCTAAGGTTATGAACTGCCATTGTCGCATTTTATGGTTTCTGTTGCTCTTGTCATGCCGCTCGGTCTTGCCGTAAGAAATAGCACTTGTACAACTCTCTCTACAGCACAATACACGAGTACAGATACCACAAAATTTTTGAATTACTTAGCTCAGTTGAACACACCGTATAAATTTAGACGGTACAGCGAGTTGGATACCAAGTGCACTCTCACATCTGAACGAAGTGCATTGTAATAACACTATTGTTTCTGCTGCTATTGTCATGCTGCTCGGTCTTACCGTGAGAAATAGCAGAGGTGCAACTCTCTCTACAGTACAATACAGGAGTACAAATAGCGTGAAATTCCAAGTTTCTTACCTCTGTTAAACACATGGAATAAATTTTGACAGTACAGTGAGTTCTATGCCAAGTGTGCTTTCATTTCTGAGTGGAGTGCATTGTAATAACACGCCTTTTTATAATGCTGTTGTCATGCCGCTAGGTCTTGCTCCAAAATAGCAGCGATGCAGCTCTCTCTACAGTGCAATACACGAGTACAATAACAAAGAAGTCCAAAATTCTTAAGCTAATTTAAATGCATCGACTAAATTTAGACGGTGTACAGCGAGTTCGATGTACCAAAGTGCGCTTTCATTTATGAACGAAGTGCATTGCAATAACACGCTACGTTTGATTAGGTTCTACTTTCCGATTATTTTGAATAGGCGTCAAACCCATCTCTTAGTATCAAAACTATTTCGTCGTACGCAGGTGGAAATCCGCCCGTGGAACAAGAGCACCAACAATCTCGGCATAATCATGACACGTGACTTGTGGAAAGACATTCGGGCGTGCTTCAGCGTCAGTATCTATCTATCTATCTACATCTATCTATCTATCTATCTATCTATCTATCTATCTATCTATCTATCTATCTATCTATCTATCTATCTATCTATCTATCTATCTATCTATCTATCTATCTATCTATCTATCTATCTATCTATCTATCTATCTATCTATCAATCAATCAATCAATCAATCAATCAATCAATCAATCAATCAATCAATCAATCAATCAATCAATCAATCAATCAATCAATCAATCAATCAATCAATCAATCAATGCATGCCTATAGGCGGCGGTACGGGTTCATAGCACCACATTATTGACTGGAGATACAGCAAGTCATGGCCTTTTCTCGATGTTAAGCAATTTGCTAATCTCCAAACCTGGTTGAATAAGCGTAGTCCGAATTTGCAAATTTTCTTCCTTTCGTGAGCGCAGTCGTCATACCAATATTGATGCGTATACCCACCCCCACGTGACCACAATATGAATTTAGGAAGGGGCAGGGGTATTCAAATACCAAATACATCTGTCAATCAAGTTCACCGAATTATGATTATATTGACGCAAGGTAGGCTGGCAACTATAGTAGCCAGCCTCTGAGGAGGACAACGAAGTAGTTCTGGGTGCGCGTGCTCTGGTGCTCGCGTTTCTGGTCCTTGGGTTACGAAAGTAAACGCCCTATTTTGGTACCTGCATACCTGTGTCTTTGTGACATTTTCTGGTAGAGGTGCTGGGTACGGTTGATGATAAGGTCCCCTGAGAGCACCCCTGACGCAAGTCCATTGAGTAGCTCAGCCGAGCTTACCCCTGTGCACGTACGTTACAGCCGTCGTCTCCAGGGACTCGAGCCACAGCACGGTTTGCTGCCTGAACGTCAGAGGACTATGAATCAAACACCGCCTACGTCACCGCGCCAGCACCAGCGCACCTGGTTATCAACCAGCCCAAGACGCCGAAGACATTTCATGGAGCTGCTTTGAAGACGCCGACGACTGGCTCGAGCATTTCGACCGGGTCACCGTCATCAACGATTGGACCCCAGAGCGTAAGCTACGCTATGTGTACTGCTTCCTGGAGGACTCCGCACCAACGTGGTTTGAGAACCATGAAGCAGCGCTTACGTCATGGATGAGTTTCACCGGCAGTTCCTCAAGGCATTTGCTCGAGAGGACAGGAAAGAGACAGCGGAGCGTGCTATAGAGGCAAGGGTTCAAGGCCCTAACGAAAGGGGGACGACTTACATAGAGGACATGGATAGGCTTTTCAGGCGTGCGGAGCCCTCTATGTCCGAATCAAGAAAGTTCGCCACCTAATGCGTGGTGTTAAAGAAGAGATTTTGCCGGCCTGATTCGAAACCCGCCTGCGACACTTGCGGAGTTTCATGAGGAAGCCACTGCCATGGAGAGGGCCCTTCACAGCTTGCGAGGCACTATAACCGTGGTGTACACCCAAGTGAGGTCACTTCTGTCACTCTCGGCAATGACATCAGCGCGTTGCGAGAGGCTTATCAAAGCTCTCATTAAGGAAGAGCTAAAAAAGATGCAGGCGGCTGCTTCACCTGTAGAGCAGCTCTCCATTGCGGAGATGGTACGCGCCGAGCTACGGCAAGCCGTTTTCACGCTCGCCAACCGTCCGAGGCGCAACAACAGAGGCACTGCGTCGAGATGAGCTACGCGGAAGCAGTGCGACGTCCTCCATTGTGCAGTTCAACCAGCGTATTTTACCCCAATGAGGCGACACGCTCAGCAATGAAGGTTGCTTCCGTCCTCGCAGCTCACCGTTGATCGCCGAAGCAAGACCGAGAAAGAGTGACATCTGGCGTACACCCGACCACAGGCCCCTTTGTTTCCACTGCGGGAAGCCGGACCGTCTACCGAACATGTCCATACTGTCGTGTGGGTCTCCGTGGATTTTCGCCTAATGCCCCTCGTCCAAGACCTGGCGAGCGGCCCCTGGAAATGGAGAGTTTCATCTCGAATCGTCACAGTATCGAAGATCGGTCGCAAGAGTCTCGCTCGTTGTCGCCTGCTCGCTACAGGTCACCGAGCCCAGCCTATTCACGCAGCGCTCCGAGACGCCGTTCACCCAGTCCTGCAAGTCGGGAAAACTGAGTTCAGCGACTTCCAGAGGTGAGGCCGCTGACGCTGACTCTACGGAAGATTTTCCACTACGACGACAGCGACGGCAGCAAAAAGATGTACAGACGCAGTCAAACGTGGTACAAAGAGTGGTGACATCAAACATTGCGGTAACTGTGGACGACGAAGAAGTAATGGCGCTAATTGACACTGGAGCAGACACTTCCGTTATGAGCATGGGTCTTGCCTGCAGGCTGACGAAGGTTTCCACCCAGCGGGCTGGGTCGCAGATACGTACGGCAGGAGGCCATCTCTCACTCCGGTGGGGCGGTGCACAGTGCGAGTCAGTATTCACGGATTCGCGTATCGCGGAGATTTTGTAATACTGCCGAGTTGCTCGAGGGACCTAATTCTCGGACTGGACTTTCTGCGTGATAATGGAGTCGTGATTGATTTGCAAAAGTCGCAGGGTGACGTTTTCTACGGCACACGTTTTAGCGCTCAACCCTCACGGCAGTTACGTCAATGCTTTGAGAATGTTGACGATGACGTCATGTTACCGCCGAAGAGTAGCGTGTTGACCTTGGTAGCCTGCGACGTTTTTGATGAATTCAACGACTATGAAGGTATTGCAGAGGCAAATACACCGCTGCTGCTCAAACAAAACATCTGCATAGCCGGATGCCTTGTTCGGTTAGAGAATAAACGCTCTCGAGTTCTGCTGACCAACTTGAGCAATGAGTTTCAACACGTCTCTAGAGGCACATACTGTCGCTTTCCTCAGTGAAATCGCCGACTTTTCCAATATCGGCTCATTGGATACGACTTCACCGCACAAAAAAGCTTGTGCTTACCTGGGAAGCCGCATTCAACATTAATCCAGACTTGCCAGATTCACGAAATAACGGCTGCTAAACCTTGTGACGAATTTCTCGGACTGCTTCTCCACAGCATCGAAAGTTCAGCGTACCACCGTTACAAAACACCGCATTGTTACCGAGGAGTCAGCGCGGCCTCTTCGCCAACATCCATACCGTGTGTCCCCGAAGGAAAGAGAGGTGATTAAGCGTCAAGTTCAAGAAATGCTGAATGATGACGTCATTCAACCCTCGACAAGTCCGTGGGCGTCACCTGTAGTCTTAGAAAGAAAAAAAAAACAACACGCTACGCTTCTGCGTCGACTATCGACGGCTTAACAAAGTCACAAAACGCGAAGTTTACCCCTGCCACGGATTGATGACGCCTTAGACCGTCTACGCCACTTCCTGTCTTCGAGCATTTTTAAGGAGAAAACGTTATCGTCCCACGCCGGCTCTCGCGTGGTTTAACAACGTATTGCCTGCGCAAAAATGTTCTCTACAAGAGAAATCTTGAGAGCAGCCAGGAAACTTTCCTCCGCGCCGTTCCAACGGCACTGCGTGAGGAAGTTTTGCAGGCGTGCCACGACGATCCTTCGGCCGGTCACTTAGGCTTTGCCAGGACATTAGCGCGCATCCGGCAGAAGTTTTACTGGCCACAGCTGTATTCGTCCGTCAGCGCTATGTCTGCCCCTGCCATGACTGTCAGAGGCGTAAAGTTCCACCCGCAAAGCCCGCCGGTTTCCTCCAACCTTTAGATCCACATCGAGCACCATTCAGCAAGTGGGAATGGATCTTCATGGTCCCTTCCCTACGTCATCCTTAGAAAATAATTGGATAATCGTCACAACCGACTATCTGACTCGCTATGCCGAAACCAAAACTGGCCTAAGGGAACTGCAGTTGAAGTTTGCCAGATTCTTTGTCCACGACATTGTTTTTGCGCCATGTGCACCTGCTGTTCTCATAACCGATCGCGGAAGCAGCATTTCCGGCAGAGTTATTGCAACAAGTCACCAAGCTGACGCCCACCAAACCCCACCGGAAAACCAACAGCTTATCATCCCCAAACGAACGGCTTGACGGAGAGGTTAAACAAACACTGGCCGACATGCTATCTATGTATGTTGATGTAGAGCACTAAACGTGGGATGAAATTTTGCCGTGCGTCACGTTGCTAATAACTCCGCTGTGCAAAATACCACAGACCTAACACCATTCGAGCTTGTTTTGGCCGTCGCGTCACAACCACGTGAGACGCTACGCTCCCCGTAGACCAGGACACCAGTTGAAATGACAGCGTTGACGACTTCGTCGAGAAAGCCGAGGGAGCCCGCCAGCTTGCACGGGACCGCATTCGCACGCAGCAAGATATCGACGCTCGCCGTTACAACCAAGGCCGAAGGAACGTCCACTATCAACCAGGTGACTATGTATGGGTGTTGACAACAGTTCGAACATCGTGGGCTTCAGAGAAGCTATTGCGGACGCTACTTTGGCCCTTACGAAGTTTGTGAGCTGCCTCAGTGGACGTGAATAACGAGGTAGTTCTCCAAAGCTCCAACACTAGTTTAAACCGAAGACGTCCACGTCCAGAGGTAGTCCTGTAGTACGTATGAAACCATACCACGCCCGCGAGTTATAGACACTTCGAAACTTTTTCGTATTATTCACAACAGCGTGGTGGGCTTTTTTTCGTTGACGTGATGATTTTTTTTTCATGGCCACCTCTAGCATCTTAGTCAGTCGACCGGGACGGTCGCTCTTGAAAGGGGGAATTGACGCGAGGTAGGCTGGCAACTATAGTACGCCAGCCTCTGAGGAGGACAACGAAGTAGTTCTGGTTGCGCGTGCTCTGGTGCTCGCGTTTTCTGGCCCGTGGGTTACCGAAAGTAAACGCCCTATTTTCGTACCTGCATACCTGTGTCTTTGTGACAATATATCCTGAGTTCGACGGAAAAGCCGTGATATATAGGCGATTATAGTACTTACGATTGTACCCGGGAATGCTAGGGCCCATAAAAAACCCGAGCGCCAGGACCGTGTACTCCTCGGCCTTTAGGAAACCTGGGCCTCAGGCCTGCGCAGGGTATCGAACCCGGTACCTCCCACGTGGAAGCAGACGCTCAGCCACTTGCTACCCGCCGTGGTGGGTGTGAAACAGGCTTTATGTATGATCGTGCGTGCATTTGTTTCCACGTAGATTACATTTACATAACAAAAAAACTGCACTGGCGTGGCAAATTTGAGCCCCCCCCCCCCCCCCCCTCCAAAACTTCACGATATACGCCACCACACTGATTATTAGTGTATGCATTTTTGGAGCAGGATCAGTAGGTGTAACATATACTTCCATAGAAATAGGTGGACTAGGGGCTAAGAAAATTGTAACTAGGTCCGACATGCAAATTGGTTGGGTTATTTCTGCTACCATCACTTCCTGTGTTCGCAGGCCTGTTAGGTGGATAGATGCTAGAGTATCTTTTTCATAAGGTGATGGTGACATGTGCGCTACCAGGCTTGAAAAAAAAGAAACGAAAGAGAATACTGCTCTTTGAAGCAAACTGGTATTGGCTTCTGCGTGGGAGTACCCCTAGCGGTGAAATACTGAGAACTACGCTGGTCGTGCCCTATACCATGACCTAGCGATGGATGTTCGGCAGGCTGTTTCGCTATGAACTGAGTGGTCACGGAGGGACGCGTTCGTATTTCTGTCTGCCAGTAAGTTGCACTGAAAACAGCGCGCACTATATGAAAACAGACAGGATGAACTTGAGACACAGGCACTGTGCGTATTCGTGAAGTGTGTGCTACGTTTTGGTTTATGATGAACAACCAATAGTGTGAGATGGCTTTTTGAAGTTCAGTCTTTTCGAAACCGCGTTTGTCAGGTTTAGCGGTAGGGGTTAACTAGAGTATAAAGTTGGGCATGTTGGTAAGACATAATTAATTCGACGTAGCAGTTTAGAATCATAGGACAAGGGAAGGGACAGAAAGGAGCGTCTTACTTCCAACAAAATTTTATTTCGAGGTGGTACATATATATGCTCACGAAATTCGAATACAGCAGATAAACAGATGAAAAACCCTCTATTGCCATGCGCTAAAAACCTAGGATCTCCAAAACAAACAATTCTTTTCACAAAGACCGAGAGAAGGGAGTGCTGATGCGTTCAGCCCTAATCTACTAATCCTTTCGGCTTCAATATCTCCCCTTGTCCACTTTATTTCTGTTTTTTCCTATGATTACCGTACCATGAAAAAGCGGTTTGCAGCTACACGTGCTGCAATGTAGTGCCAAAAAACATCTCGACCATTTCTTACGTTGCAAGCGTGTTCGCGGAGCCGGTCATTAATTGCACCTGCCAGTTTGTCCTAAGTAGTGTTTACCGCATGAAAGAGGTATCTGATAGATTACAAATTGCGCGCATTGTGACAGTGTTACGTGGTTTTGTATGTGAAAACAACTTTCATACACAAGTAGGAGAGCTTTTTCGGGGCAGAAAACACCACCTTTACATTGGCCCGCTCCCCAACCTTTTTCAAGTTGTGCGAGATTCCATGCAGATAAGGCACTACGGCAAGCTTCTGACGTCTTACTGGCTCAACATGAGGGAGAGCTTGCTGCAAGGACTGAAGCTTTCTGACCAGAATACCCGCGACGGAAACCCTTCTGTCCCTTCCCTTGTCCTATGATTCTAAACGCGCTACGTCGATTAATTACACTAGGGGTTATATCTGGAGTAGAGATGCGGATGAAGCGGCTTTTACTGAATGTCGCATACGGCGCGTTTTTCAATTTGGAGTTATTGCGCGGACCTGTCAGTAGTTGCGTGCTACAAGCTCTTCTTTAACGCTCATTCTCATACGCAGGGTGTTCTGCGTGCACGACGACTACAACTGGGACCTGACTCTGACAGCTGTGGCGAGCAGCTGTCTTCCCGCCGGCAGTCGCACCGTGAGCTTGAGGGTCAGCAGGGTATTCCACATTGGAGAGTGGTGAGCATGGCCGAGTGCCACTTGCAGGAAAGTTGAAAGCGGGACCACCCTCACAAATAAAATACTGTAGACGCTATCTATCTATCTATCTATCTATCTATCTATCTATCTATCTATCCTATCTATCTATCTATCTATCTATCTATCTATCTATCTATCTATCTATCTATCTATCTATCTATCTATCTATCTATCTATCTATCTATCTATCTATCTATCTATCTATCTATCTATCTATCTATCTATCTATCTATCTATCTATCTATCTATCTATCTATCTATCTATCTATCTATCTACTCTCTATCTATCTATCTATCTATCTATCTATCTATCTATCTATCTATCTATCTATCTATCTATCTATCTATCTATCTATAGATAGCCCGGTCTACTGTAGACGCTATCTATCTATCTATCTATCATATCTAATCTATCTATCTATCTATCTATCTATCTATTCTATCTATCTATCTATCTATCTATCTATCTATCTATCTATCTATCTATCTATCTATCTATTCTATCTACTACTATCATCTATCTATCTATCTAATCTATCTATCTATCTATCTATCTATCTATCTATCTATCTATCTATCTATCTATCTAGCAATCTATCTATCTATCTATCTATCTATCTATCTATCTATCTATCTATCTATCTATCTATCTATCTATCTATCTATCTATCTATCTATCTATCTATCTATCTAATCTATCTATCTATCTATCTATCTATCTATCTATCTACGCTGCAATAAATAAACAAACACTGCGAATATCTGATCACGACGATAACACCACACGTAGCAAGTGATGTTCATGATGTTCATTGCATTTTAATCCAACGAATAAGTGGCCAAATGTTACAGTCTTAATTTCGGCGTTCGTTATCGCAGCGGCGTCCACAGGCGTCCCAAAAAGTGCCAAGAAGTGCTCCTCCGCAAGGCTCTGCGCGTGATTCCCAAGGAAGGGTTCGGTTCTGAGCGCATGCGCAATCTGCGATCCATCCCTCCACGCGTAATACGGCTGCCCAAGGTTAGCGGAGGGTGGGCCGACGTCCGGGACCACCAACTCTGCGTCAAGATGACGCTATGGGGTTCCTAGGAAGCACCAAGCCATCCATTTCTTTAGTGTCTTGTGTCAGTCCCATGTTCTTTAACCACATATTGTACCATCGGAAATTTAATGTAGGTTTAATGCAGTATTTATTTGTTACGTGACCACGTATTCGGAAATGATCGCATATGCAATGCACCATTGTGTGATCATACATGTTTTCATAATATAATTGACACCAGTGTTTGTTTCGTTTTTGCCAACTTCCATACGTCTCCTATCCCCATATTCCATGGCAATATATAACGATATATAGGTTCCATGCGATTGTTATATTTTACATTATGTGTCTTCGCATGAACGTATTTTAGATACATTATTGTGAGTTCCTCCACGTGGTCTTAAGGTGTTGGATATATTGCAAGATCGGTAATATATTAGCTTTTCGTTATGATAGGTCTATCCCGTCTTGTGGCAACCAGAAAGACTCTACCAAAGGGAACATAATTGTTTTCTTACTGCACGAACTCATTATCGCTTGGTTTTTAGATTTTGTTTTATAAACGGATTCTATATAATAAACGAAAATAACTTTCTGTATTCCCCGAAAGAGGATGATTATTTCAAATAATTCATCGTCCAGGTCGTGTCTCTACGAGTTCTCTTGCAGTGCAAGAGGCGTTATTTCGATGTGCTAGCAACAAGTCCTCATCGCATTCTTTTGAACTTTATCTAGAAAACTCACTATATACAAAGAAATTCACCAAGCGCTTGCTTTATCAATTGGTAACGCACATTCACACTTCATCGCCTAGCTCTATTGATGGAATATTTATACTTTGTCAAATTGTCTGACTACGCACCTCACAAATAAGTTACATTAAATGTACATAATCTCGAGCTTGCTAGGGAAACAACACGATGGCTTCAAAAGTTTTTATGCATTGTTTTCAAGTGGTTATAATCTTACATTTATCAAGGTGAGTGTTCCTTAAGGTACAGTGATAGGCCCGCTTTTTTACTGCATTTTAATTTTACAGTTTCCCTTCTATCAACAATTGCGTTATTCATGGAGCACTAATCACGTCATAATTCTGCATTCTCACCTGAATAAGCTAGCAGAATGGTGCTGCAAACGACAGAGGCAAATTAACAAAAATACCAAAGACTTGACATTTGCTTGTCTTAAACTCGCATTTAATAGTTACGTACTGAACAATAATATAGTAGATTCGGCAAAATCATTATATACCTCGGCGTCTTTCGAATTCAAGGCTAGAGGGACTGACCATATAGAATATAGTATCTCAAGTGGAAAAGAAATTTCGCTTTCTAAAATGACGCCTGTATCTAGCTGACTTCAAGCATACATGTCCCTGGTAGACCCTTCACTGAAATGTGCATCAATTATTTAGCTTTCACACCAGGCCAACCCCACGGATTTACTGGATGTCATTCAAGGTAAAGAATTTCGATTCGTCTTACCACCATAATCACAATTTGAAAGTATTCAATTTTTTAAATAAAAAACGCTCCACATTCCATCACTCACCCTGCGCAGGACATTTTGTAGTACATTTTCCCCATATATTGTATCAAAGTTATATATGCTATGCTCAGTCGAATGTTTTACTGCCATAAAATGGTTCTAATCACATCAATCAGGCTTAAACGGGAACGCTATCTTGGCCTGGCAGAAAATTACAAGAACTTACCTTAAGGTTATCGCTGGAAGAATAGAATGTCTTGCATCCCCGAATTTACTCAATAACTGAGCATTTTTCATTTAATTCAGTATTGCAAGCTAATATATAGTTCTTTAGCTTTGAGCCACCATTTTTATTTGTTCGCTGTTTACTCTTGTTATAATGTTTGTCTTGTTACAATGTTTTCACGAAATAATATATCGTAGCGGTGTGCAAACCTTGACTAATTGTCTTCTGAAAAAATATCGTTCAGGCTTCTCTTATGTCCCCACCCCAATGTTGTAATGTCCTTTGTGGGCCCTTGGGGTACTTCAGTATTAAAAACACAAGGTATGGTGCAACACGAGATGTGTAAAGCTTCTATTCCCTTCGTACCATGAATAACCTATTGACGAGAATACATTTGACAAAATATTTCGGAAGAGTCTTCCAGCGTTATCAATGAGGGATAGAAATGAACCATTCTTGCTCTCCTCCTTAGGGAACTAAGTTTTTTTATGGATTGATCTGTGTATTACGTTAGTCCCACCTCATTCTTTTTTGTGAGGCACGAAATTGCAATATTTTAAAGCGATAGCGTTAAAGAGTGTGTCGCAGAAATTGAGGCATCTGCGTCGGCGTCATTGGTTGGGAGGGAAAAATCGTCTTTGCGTCACCGAAACGTCGACCATCTTATGCGTGGACAAGAATTGAGAAGGATGCAAATAAAGTAAACAATGAAAAAAAATCCGTGTCGGAGTTGGCATCAAAACCGGGTCGTTTGCATGGCAAGCGGGTGTTCTGGTACACAGCCACGCGTCTGCTTGTGAATGCGGTGAAAATAACTTTCTCTGCTTGAAAATGCAGCGAAATCAACTTTCATGCTTTACAAACGCACGCGTCCTGTATACACGGTTCACGTTACAACATGAACTATTGCAGTAATAATGCGTAGTACAAGCGTACGTCGCAGGCACGTTGGGTGTCAGAACTACGGATTATCACAATGACTTCATAGTATGAAGCTAGTCACCCACTAGAAAAGCACAGACGTTACTGCACCTTTAAAGGCACGTAGTAGGTGCACAGCAAGTTAGAAAATATATCATACAATAAGTGTTTGAAGTACGCACTAGGAACAAAATATTGTCATCGCGTTCAACTATTAAACGTGGAACTTAAGGGTTCCCCATTTTTTCTTCACGTACAAAGAACAAAACATTTCTGTGGTCTAGAAGCTATTATCTTGCAAAACAGGACAATGCATTCAATGTCCCTTGCTTCTAAATGTAAAGGACATTGTAGCGCTGACCCAAAGTGGGATTCAAGACAACGTGTCCTACTCTCGGCTTTGTTTGCCAGAAGTGTTCTGATACAATAGGTTACGCAACGTTCCTACAAGTTTTTCTATACGACTTTACAATACTACCCAATATTTCTTTAGTGAGAACTACATACAGGTTCAACAATATATTTAAATCTGCTGAATCTCTTTCTTTCCCATGGGTCAAGGGCTTCTTTTGTTTGATTGTGTGAGTGGAAACTGTTTCGTCATGAAATGGTCACCCACAACAATGGGCGTAGAATTTTGCCACAGTGTACGAAGCGGCCAGATATAAATTTTTCAAACCTGAACATAGTTGGCGCAAGACTAAAAAATATGCACACACCAAAAATAGCGCAAGTAAATCACGCACAACGAAACATAGCAACGAATGTAAAGGCACCCAACTTTTTACCTATAGTCAGTTGTTGATAATTGTTGGAGTTTTAAGTCCCTAAATCACGATATGACGGAGCGATGCCGTATAGTGGAGAGGCCTGGAAATTAAGTAAACAGGTGTCTAGCATTTGGCCTGCAAAAAAATGCGTCCGCTACCTATAGGTAAATATCAATGCCGCTTACAATCATAGGCGTATTTCTTGTGTTAGAAACGCCAGGCCTGCACGTAAGGCGCAGCACAGTCACAACGAAAGCTAAAAGAGCGGCCTTTCAGAGTCTTTTCTAAACACTCATGGGGCAACTACAGCTAGCACACCCAATAAGGAATTATTAATAAATCTTTTGGGCAGTAGGCCGGCATTTGCTACGCTATTATTCGTCGTTCTTCTAAGAAGCGTGGTATCCGCTAAACACTTTGTGCCAATTGTTCATGCAGTGGCTGACGATGACGAGGAATCATGACTGAAGTGGTTATGCGCGACAGGTAACAGGTGAACAACAACAACCGTTTGTAATGGGTTGAAGCATTGGATGGCCCACTCGTTACGCTATTCGCATTGTGCGATGACTGGTTGTTCTTTCGATGTTTTAAAGCGGTTTATAAGTGGTATGAGCGCGATTGCTTTCCCGACATCAAGCCTGCCTAAGGCAATTTTTCCAGCAAGTCCCACCGGCTTGGCTCAGTATAATAGCGGGTTCGTGTTCGAGACCCACTTATTCACTGGTGCTAGTTTTTTTTTTCTAATTTCGTGCGATGTGGTTACGGTCCCCGGAGGCAGACAACTGCGCATGAACGGGGTTGTAATCTCATAAGAGCTTTCGCTGTAAAAAAACTGGGCACACCGTACAGGCACTATATATGATGATGAGGATACCAGAATCTTGGGAGAATGTTTGCCAAATTTCAATCTATGGCGATAAGGCTTGAAAGACTCGATAAAGCACAGGCGGAGGATCAGCTTACAATCTGTTTTCCACAGGATGTTTACGAACATAAAAGCAGCTAATAGTAGGCACTGGAAGTAGTAAAGGAATACATCTATACTTAGGACAGGCAGAGAACGCCGAGCCAAGCCATAAAAATGAAGTAACTAGAAGACTAAGTATGTGCGATGGAGCATAGTCGGCAGGCACTGAAAAATAAATGATAGTTTAATACTATTCCCAAATAAAACGGGGTATACATAATGACTAAGAATTTGTCCGAAATGCTCAAGAAATGAAACTGCAACAATCGTTCATTGCCATCACAATAGATTTTTCTGTAATATTAGGCATGTTGAGATGCTTAAAAGCACTAATTGAAAGAATAATTAGGTTCCTGAATTAATTAAGCTCCTGACAAGAGGATTTTAGCGGGTATGTAAAATAGAGGTTCTAATAAAAGATATAAAAAGCAGCTTTTCGTCAATGTTGTGACATAATGAAATTATTCCCAATTCAAAGATGAAACACAATCCGAAGCACTTATGAGTGCAACAACTGGACGGCCAGAATGACGTCACCGTTGTAGACAATTACAGAGGTATAGTCCTTCTGCGTTAGTTAATGTGTGTGTGCCGGGCGTGCTACATTTGCAAGCGCAGCCCACACAAACACGCAAACAAGTGTTTTCATGGTTGATATAACAACGCTCACTC